TTATTCACATTCACAAAGTACTGGGAGGGGATCGTTACTAGCAGCTTTGAATTTCTGCTCCATTCTTCCACACACCATCTGTTGCACTGCTAGCAAGGAGGGATGTACTATTTTGTGTTTGGTTTGCCTCCTTTAATGTTACATAGTTCAATCCAATCAACTCATAGCCCGCCCAAATTTAACAACTTATATCTCACATTGATACAAAAATGTGGAAAAATCAAATCTACACTACCTAAATCACCAGAACAGAGGGCCATTAACATAGAACGTAATAAAAAATATGGAAGGGAAATAGAAGAAATGGGAGAAGAATTTAGGGGAAGAAATAATCGATGTTCAATCATTAAGCAGTCTAGAGTTCTAAGAAATTAAAATCTTATCAAAATATTAAATGTAATATAATCTAATAAAAACCAACATTATCAAACTTTGCTTTAAAACTTATCAAAATCCTAACTTTATTCTTATCTTCATTTCCCATCAACAATTCTCACTTTTTTTTTTTGTTTTTTGAACAAAATCTTTTAATGTACCCAAAGAGGCTATTGCCTATAACTAGTGTTACAAAACTTGGCTCGACTCGACCAACCAAGTTAAAATCCTGACAACCCGAGCCTTCATTTGCAATACCATATAATTATTTATAGACTTATTATGTATGCAAAGATTATATTAAATTAAAATGAATTGAATATCTAATACATAATTTTTTGGCCGATGACTGATAAATGGCTTGTATATAACAAAAAGTGGAAATTACACATACCCAAAATTTTAAGATACATAATTCAAAAATCAGATAATTATTCGTCTTTTAATATTAATAATAATATTGTAAAATTAAATTAATTAACATATCTCCATCCACTCTACCTCACTCACAAACTCTAAATTTCTCTCTATTCTCTACTCTCTCTCTCTCTCTCTCTCTCTCTCTAGCAATTTCAAACATAAAATTTTCATCCCTCTTCTCCATATCTCTGCCATCTCCCTCCTCTCCTCTCCTCTCCTCTCCTTCTCCATTCTCTCTCTTTCAGTGATGTAGTGGCGTGCCACTGTCGCGAGAAGCGGCCAGTACCTACCATCGTCGTCACATACCACCACCACCTCTACTCTTTGATCTCTCTCTCTCTCTCTCTCTCTCTCATTTTTTCTCATCTCCATTCTCTATCTATCGACGGGCGACAGCTCGTCATGCCATCGTCGCGCGAAGCAGCCTTTGACGGTCGCTACGCGCAGCTCGAAGTGGCACCTTTCTACTATGGCATTGTACCGCTACGTACGATACTTACAAGTTGTTTAGATGCGTGCGATCGGGACACTGTGCCGCAACCCTAATATTTTTGTGGTGCCTCTATGATCTACTGTTTTACCGCAATTTTGGTGAGTTTTTTTGTTGTTGATTGTTACGGGTTTGGGGCTTTTGTTAGTGGGGTGATAATTGTGGTGTGGTAGTGTTGTATGAGATAATGGATTCTAGGAAGCAGTCGTGGTTGATTGGACTTGCAGATGGAGGTGGAGGTCAGTGGTAACCGAAGCGGGTGATTTTGGGGGTGGGATACGATGGCAATATATTTGGTGGTGGTGGTGGTGGTGGTGGTGGTGCTTGCAGCAACGGCGACAGTGGTGATGCAGCAATGATGGTGGTGGTGATATGGTGTTTAGTGGTAGTGGGGATAGCGTGGTGTGGGCTGTTTGTGACCAATATTTGAGATTGTGATGAGCTAAAAAGTCAAAAGCACTTCTCTTGCGTTCTTGAGTTATTTTTTTGTCCCATAAGATGGTCCCTGCTAGGGGTGGGCAAAACCCAATCCAACCCACGAAAACCGACCGACCCAACCCAACCCGACCGAGTTGGGTCGATTTTTTGGTGTTTTTAGGCGGGTTTCGGGTAGTGAGTTACTCTATCGGGTTGGGTTGGGTCAGGTTGTGGGTTAAGCAAGATAACCCGATAGAACCCAAACCAACCCAACCCGACCAAAAAAAAAAAGAAGAAAAAAGAAAAAAACTGACTAAAGATAAAAGGGAAGGGAAAGAATAAAGTGGTGAGTACAGGTTTATTTTCCAGCCATTTGAAAAAAGTTGACCCAACAATTTTAAAAAAAAAAAAAACAAAAGAAAGTCAAACACTAAAACCTAAACCAATTCTTTCACATTTCAGGATTTCAGTCTGCAGGAAGTAAGAAGCGGGAACCTGCAATAAATACTCCACATCTCCGGCCTAGCATCTCCAGTCCTTTCACTGGACGATATTTCCTCTTAGCTCACGCCATTTGAAGCCGGCTAAAGCTATTCCGGATCGATTTTTTAAAGGGGCGAGTTACAGCTTTTTAAGGTTTGTTGTCATACATTTTAGTGTTTTTGTTTGCTATATTTTTGGGATGTTTAAAGATGAAAATGGGTTAAATTTTGGGAGATTTAAAACTGAAAATGGGCTAAAGCTATTCCGGATCGATTTGGGTGCACTTACAGCTTTGTAAATTATTGTTGTCATGCATTTTTAGTGTTTTTGGAATCTATATTTTTGGGATATTTAAAGCTGAAAATGTATTAAATTTTAGGATATTTAAAATTGGAAATGGGTTATATTTTGGGATATTTAAACCTGGTCTGTCTCTACTAATTGCTTAAAATGAGGAAAATTGGAGTGAAATGTACCCGGGGTTCCAGTAGTAGAAGACGATGAATAATTTAGTTTACTATGGCCGAACCCGTATTGGTTTTATTTGAAATATATGGTAATAAATTAGGCTTTTGTGCAAACCGATCAACCCAACCCAACCCGACCGACACTTGATTGGGTTGGGTTGGGTTGGGTTTCAATGTGTATTTGGGTTGGGTTGGGTTGAAATTAGATCAAACCAACCGTGTTGGGTTGGGTTTGGGTTGGGGGAAAAACCGACCCAACCCAATCCACGCTCACCCCTAGTCCCTGCGATCATACCTCTCTTCATCCTTGGCGATGTTGCATATCCAAGCGGGCTTGGTGCTTTTGTTTTAAAAAGCCCTGGAAATGAGTTCCGGAGGTTCCAGCAACAGGAGAACCAGGCTCTATAAAAATTTTGATTTGTGACCCAAAAATGATTTGTAACCAATTAATTCGATAATTTAACCAAATTGCATAGGTTTGTGACCTTAATATATTTAATTAATATTTTGTTAAGTAATTATTTCATAAATGAAATTTAATAATATCCGATTTTCGAAATTTTAAACATTGTTTCTTAGTTTTGAAATGAAGCGTAGTTAAATTCTTAGTTGTGAATTTGTTCCCTAACAAAAATGGGAATTATATATTTTTTATAATAATGTAGAAAATTATAAAATCAAAATGTAATCATTATCATTAATAAATGAGTTCACAAAACCAATAATTTAAAGATAAAAAAATAATTAGTGACAAAAAACTTAAAAACTTTAATTTTGTCTCAAAGAGAAAAAAATATACTTTAAAAAGATTAAATGATTTTTAAACAACGACTTAACGGTCCGACCACTAACCTATTGGTTCAACTAGTAACCCGACAACGCAGTGCCTCGGCTGGATCAATGCGCACTTCAAATCTAATAACTATGCCTATAACCCTTACAATCTATTTTGCCGAAAAGGAGGTTATGAATTTCTGAACCTAGTCAATATTTTTAAAATCTCAGCATTTTGTACAGCCATTTGCATTGACAAATTTTGTGCTTTTGCTAAACATATTCTCTTGCTATATAAAATGGTTGGACTAAGCTCAAATTTCTAAATGTTAGGTAAACTGGAAAAAGATGCGAAAATTGTAGCCGAAAACTAACTTGTCCTAATCGGACCTTTGGAAGATAAGACTACTTGGTTGGATGAACAGCGCTCCAGTGGAGAACTTGCTAAAGTTTTTGCGACATTTGATAGGTAACTCGCTAATCATAACTTGAGAGATCACTACACAACTAAAAGATCTTTACTAAGCTTCACTGGTGTTACATGTTGCCCGTAATTTCACAAGCAATACTAATTAGTTGTAAGTTCATAATTAAGTATATGGTACATTGGATGTGCTATTCGTGATCTCAAAGATCTCCCTCATTCGCAATATTTGTTCTATTTTACAGCTACAAAAATGAACATTCGTTCGATCATGTGGTTTGTATCACGTTTGAGGACAGCAAAGGTTTTTTGAGTTGCTATACAAGATATTAAACTTATTTAGAGAATGAAATGTAGTGACCGATTACATTGCAAATGGAGACAATATCTCCATTATTAATGGCACAGGTTTCTAGTACTCATGTTTACCATTTCATTCTCTCTCTCATTCATTTTGTGTTTCTTTATCTAATGAAAACATACGTGAAGTTTGTGGGCCAAAAAAAAGTTTGTAACTTTTTTTGTACAGTATATAGGCTAGCATAATGAAATTTTTTGACAATCTATTGCTAGGGAGGACGGGAGGTGATCGTCTTTCACTTGTAATTTGTTTTGGCATTGGCAGTGTGTATAGCGAAGAAGCCATATTGTTTCTTTCAAATGTTATGAGCATTAAGGTTGAAGGATCATTCCATGCTCTGTCCCAACTGCACAGTTGAGCTTGGCCATGTATTTAATGTTTTGTTACTGGGAAATGATATGTGGGGGCTTCAATGTTCTATGCCTGAGCTGAGAATGAATTGATGATTAGTTTGAGGCTGAGGAGTTGGGGTGACTTCATGCTAGTTTAGTTCATGTATAAATACCAGATTTCAAAGAGGACAACAACTTACCAATTCATACATATCATTATTAGACACAGCACAATCGCGAAACTGTTTCCATGTCAGACTCCAAATACATCAAAGTACAGAAAAAAGATACAAATGTCTGCATCCATCAAATGCCTGGATACAACAATACAAATTGAGTACATCTCCTAGCATAATTTATTCAAACAATTTCCGGCATAGAATCAAAGAAACACCGCCTTCGTCCTTTGCCTTTATTCACACGAATTTCATACTTCAGATGTCCTTGGCAAGGTTGCCTAGCGACGAAAACTCCTCACCTGGCGTGGGGCCTCTTCCTCTTCCCCGTTAAGCTTAACGAGAGTATAAATGCCAGCCCCTGCAAGAGCTCCAAGTGTAGGTGCCAAAAGGTATATCCATACCGCCTTGTAATTTCCTGCTGCAACTGCTGGTCCAAGAGTTCGGACAGGATTCATTGAGCCACCGCTCGATGGCCTGCCAATTCAAAGAGAGTCAAAACATTAGCTAGTGTCTTTTTTCCTTAAATCTTTTACATTTACCATAATTTTCAAGAAGAAGACGAAGCAAAATGATCATTTACTCACCCCGCAACAAGAATATTAAGCATGACGGTGGCTCCAACTGCTATGCCTGCTAATTCTCCAACCTATCAACAAGGATTAATTCAGATCGAGATTAGTTACTTGTAATATTTGAATAAAAGATTATTCACGTTCAATTGATTACTCACAGCGCGGGTATCAGTGGCAACAGCAGTAACGACGAATAGCAGATTGAAAGTTATAAGAAATTCAAGGGCAAAAGCCTGGCCGGTGCTGACAGAAGGGACAGTAACACCACCGGACATGAAAGGATGGAAAACACCTTTGAGTGCAAAGGAAGCACAAATGGAGGCCGAAACTTGTGCTGCAATGTAGCCCGGTACATGGGCCCATGGAAAGTGGCGAAGTGCAGCAAAGGCAATAGTGAGTGATGGGTTAAGATGAGCACCCGAGATGTGACCTGTTGATAAAATCACGATCATAACTGCGAGACCAGCACATGCTGCATTGCCAATAAGTGTTTCGGCTTGATTGTATTTTTGGTTTACGATTGGTCCGGCCGTTGCAGCAAATATCAGGATAAATGTTCCAACAAACTCTGCTCCTAACTACATTTAACACTAGTTAATTCCTTCATTTTCGACAAATTTTAATGAAGTTCTGTGAGGTTTTAGAATAAATAAGTGATAGTATAGCTCCTAATTTATACAATAAAAAGGTACAGATTCTCTGTCAATTAATATACTAGTTTTTCATTAAAATATTTATAGAAATTAATGGAGTATTCTTGGCACTTCCATAGCAGGTATAATTCTAAATTCATTTGAGGAAAAATTACCTCAAACACTACATTTCAATATTCAATTTCTTAAACTAGGTGCTATTGTTTTTTTTTCCTCCAAAGAATCAGGTATATCCATTAGAACTTATCCCACCCCACCTCCAACCGACCTATTGCAAAAAGGACACATTTATGTACATAATTTTTTGTACACCAAGAATAATTCTTGCACAAATTGAGATAGCCCTGTAAAAGAAATAAAATTTGTCGTGTAATAATTAAGGGTTAAACCACTTGTACAGTTTGTGTACACCTTCATTTACAGAATGTTGAGCTGACGAGCACTCTCACATTAAACTAGGAAGGAAAATTCTCGCCATGTCAGCATTTGTAAAGTTTTATGTAAATGAAATATGTACTAACTTTATCCAATAATTAACAACTCTGTTGCATGTATACTTTCGTTGACAACTTTGCTTACAGATGATGAGGTGGGAGGCAGTTTGACCATTTATTCAAATCAATGGCCAAACTATTTACAAATTATCAAATGACTACAACTAGTTAATTCAATAATCAATAAGCTTGTGATATATGTACATAATAATTTACATGCACATAATGAGGTGAGATATGATTTGGATCAGAATTTATTCAACCAAATAAAAAAATCACTGTCTTTTTTACGGATCATTTGTATGTAAACTAACAAATAACTACTTCTGTACGAGTAGCATTATTTTAAGTAATATCTCCAATTACACCCGACTTCCTACACTAACCTAACCTATTGAATAAATCGAGATAGAACTTTCTACACAATTTGTCAACTCCAATATTCTTCTTCATTAACCATTACACGGTACCTTCCGCAACTTACATTTCTTATTGATTTCATCTTTGTCGAACGTTCTCAATATTGAGAAAACTATAGCCATCCTCAAGCGCCACCACCTATCTTCTTGACTCGTTAGTTCCCCATTTTACCCCTTAATCCATCACAGATTTACTACTCCAATCCCAAAATAACCAAACTCTAATCCTAAAATTTCACATATTTACTCCTTTCAACCACTCCGTCTGCCTAAGTTATTGAAGATAATAGAAGAATTGAAATTGAAGAGAAAAATTAATTTCTTGTATTGATCGTAATGAAAGGGTACAACTTGTTTATATAAATACAAGGGAGCTTTAGCTAACTAACTATCTAACAAACTTGTATCTATGCAATCTATACAATATCAGTTAACATTGTTATTTTGCGTGAGCTGTATAACCATCTGGAAGCTAAGCTAAGCTAGAGTTTGTTGCATGGCAGTTGGTTGTTGGAAGCTATGGAAAAATGAGAGAAGATGGTAGAGGCTTGGTGAGAACGTCAGCTAGTTGATGTTGAGAACAAACTAGCAAATGTCTGATGAAACCATCATTGACCCTATCTCGAACAAAATGGCAATCAATTTCGATGTACTTTGTTCGCTCATGAAATATAGGATTAGTGGCAATGAGGATAGCCGCCTGATTATAACAAAAAATCAGTGCTGGAGCTGCAATGTGGATCTACAAGTTAAGAAGAAGCTGATGAAGCCAAACAATTTCACAAGTAGGGGAAGATAGAGCACGATATTCGGCTTCTGCAGATGATTTGGAAACGATGACTTGCTTCTTAGATTTCTAAGAAACCAATGAGTTACTAAAGAAAATACAGAAACCAGTTATGGATCTTCGTGAATCAAGACAGGAACCCCAATCAGCATCGGAAAAAGCTCGAATCTGAAGAGGGGAAGAAGCATCAAATAACAGACCCTAACCAAGAGCCATTTTGAAGTATCTGAGGAGATGATGGACATCATCTAAATGAGGTTGGCGAGGTTATGAAATGAACTGACTGAGTTTATGAACCGCAAAAGTGATGTCTGGCCTGGAGGTTGTTAAATCCAACAGTCGGCCAACCAGTCTTCGATATAGGGAACGATCATCAAGAAGCTATCCCTCAGATGAAGATAGGTGAAGTTTAGGATCCATTGGTAATTGAGGTGGCTTAGAAGCCAAGAAGCCAGTGTCCTCAAGTAATTGTAAAGTGTAATGCCTTTGAGATAAACAAATGCCTCTTTGTAATCTTGCATCCTTCAATTTAAACTGCTATGTAAGAATGTTTCTAATGCATCAATCACCTTAACATCTGATCCGGCCAAGATAATGTCATCAACATAAACAAGAAGTGCAATGAAAGAGTCACCGGTCCCCATTGTGAAAAATGAGTAATCTGTTTTTGATTGCTGAAAGCCATGATGTAGAAGAACCTGAGAAAACTTTGAGAACCATTGCCTCGATGCCTGCTTAAGACCATAAATTGACTTATGAAGTTTACACACCTTTTTCTCCCCCTGAAATCCAGAATGATGTTGGTGATAACCCATATGTAAGTCCATATAAATTTCCTCAAAAAGGTCTCCATGACGGAAAGCATTGTTAACATCTAATTGCACAAGATGCCAAGTTTGACAGTAGCCACATCAAGAAGAGTTTTAACCGTGACTAATTTTGCAACAGGAGTGAAAGTTTCCACATAATCTAACACTTCCTGCTGAGTATAGCCCTTAGAGACCAACCTGGCTTTTTACCTCTCTATGCTACCATCTGACTTAAATTTGATTTTGTAAACCCATCTGCAACCTATGGTGTGCTTATCCTTTGGCAAAGTAATGATAGACCAAGTATTGTGATTCTTGAGACAGAAAAGTTTGTGAATTAAGAACTGGAAGAGTTTCTGAATTAGGAACTGGAGCAATTGTTGTATCAAGATGTGCATTATCATGACTGCAGCAGTTGAGGGAAATGTGGAAGGATGATCGAATGATAAATCATGATAGACTCTTGGTAAAACAACATCAGGAAATGAATGAGGCACATCAGTAGTGTGGGAAATGGATTGGAAAGGGAATACTTTTTCGTGAAACACAACATCTCTTGAGATGAAGAAGGTGTTAGAGTCAATATCAAGAAGTTTATATCCCTTCACAATTGGAGGATAACCAAAGAAGACACAGGCATTGGCTCTAGGATGGAACTTTGTTCTATGAGAAGGTAATGTTGAGGCATAATAGAGGCAGCCAAAAGTTCTAAGGCCATCATAATTCATTGGAGAATTGTAAAGACAAACGAATGGAGTCTTATTCTTTAAAATTGGGGATGGAGTTCTATTGATTAAGTATGTGGTTGTGAGGACACATTCTCCCCAGAAATGAATGAGAACTCTAGACTGGAAGTATAATGCATGAGCAACATTGAGTAAATGATGATGCTTCCTTTCAACCACAGAGTTCTGCTTTGGTCTCTCTACGCAAGAGAACTGATGAATTACCTCCTTACTATTGAAGAATTCTGTGAACTTTAATTCTAGAGTATTATCAGATTGAAAAGTCTTGATAACTTTATGAAACTGAGTCTCTATAAGGGTAAAGAATTTTGGAATGAGGAATTCAACATCAGATTTTTGCCTCATCAAATATACCAGGTAAACCTTCTGCAGTCATCCACCAAGGTTAGAAAATACTTATAACCAGCATGCATAGATGCATTGTAAGGGCCCCAAACATCGCAATGAATAAGATCAAAAGCTGTAGAAGACATGTGATTATTGGAAATAAATGATAGCCTTCTTTGCTTGGCCAGAAGATAGATAGAGCACAGAGTAGACAAATTATTTCTATTAGTATTAAACTTCAATAAGTCTTTCAATACATCTAGTCTTTTAAAGGATAAGTGTCGAAGCCTTTCGTGCTAAGTGTGATCAGTCACATTGTTTATTAAGGAATGAAACTGATTACAAGAATTTTTAGAAACATCAGTACTATTCTAACAGAAATAAGATTGTTAGCATCAATGATATAAAGATCTTCAGTTCTTTTACCCTTGCTAGTCGTCCTCAATGTTGGTACCACCTGAATGAGACATGTATAAGTGAGAAATTTGACACTTAATGAAGATCTCTTGGTTAAAGAACTTACTGACAAAAGGTTAAACTTGAATTGAGGTACAAACAAGATATCCTCAAGTATCAAATCTGAAGATAACTTCACATTCCCAATATATTGCACATGGACTTGTTCATGGTTAGGCAAAGTAACATATGCATTCTGAACTTATTTCAAAGTGTTAAAAGGCTTTTAGATATGAACAAATGTGACTTGTGGCACCTAAGTCAATTACCCAAGCTGTAGGTGAATTGAAAAGTGGACTCATAGAGATGGAGAAGCAAGTACCTATCACTTGATCAATGGTGCTTTCATGTTGCATATCTGTCTTTGTAACATTAAGGTGATTATTCATTATATTCATCAATTGTTGCTATTGAGTTGAATTCAATGTTTGCGCAAAATTTCCAACATCACTTTGTGCTTGATCTGATCTTTGTATCTGACCAGATATCAACCTTGTAACTGCACAATTCACCTGATTGTTTGGGTTAGTTTGATTACTAGATCCCCCATCTTCTACTTGGTTTATAACCTGGTTGGAATCTATGTAACTTGTAACACTTGTCCACAACGTGACTTGTGTATCCACAATATGTACAAACTGGCTGCTAATTTTTCTGAAATCTATTGAATGATTGTCCAGAATTTGGCCTCTTAATTTCATTCTTAGCATAAAATTTCATAGATTCACTGATGCCAGAAGGATCAACACTTACATTAACCT